CTTGAGCATTTTGATATCTTGTTTGAGGGACCTAAAAGTAGAGCTTCTAGTGAAATGAATGAGCTGCAGCTTGTTTCCTGACAGGTCTCTCTACTCATAGGTTCAAGGCCTCTAGCTTTCTTTATTTAAAAAAAATATAAATGAATAAGTTTATTTATTTTGGCTGCGTTGAGTCTTCGTTGCTGCGCGTGGGCCCTCTCTAGTTGCGGCGAACGGGGGCTACTCTTCCTTGCGCTGTGCGTGCTTCTCATTGCAGTGGCCTCTCTTGTTGCAGAGCACGGGCTCTAGGTGCGTGGGCTTCAGTAGTTGTGGCACTCGGGCTTAGTTGCTCCACGGCATGTGGGATCTTCCCGAACCAGGGCTCGAACCTGTGTTGCCTGCGTTGGCAGGCGGATTTTTAACCACTGCGCTGTCAGGGAAGTCCTCCTCTAGCTTTCTTGATCTCATTTGATCTTCATCATTTTAGTGCTGATAGTAAATCACACAGTGGTCATACTTTCCTTGGATATATTTCCTTGTATCCTTTACTTGTCACATCAGGATCATGAAAATCCCACTTCTCATTAACTTTGTAGATTTAAATAGGACCCCTTGCAAAGCACATTGAATAAGCATCAAAAAGCATAACGTGCTCTGTGTGTGAAGGCATCAGTCATCTGTCTGTTGCAACCACTCCTGTCATTTTAGCCCTTTCTGCTCTCAGAATTCCGAAAGGGTGGAAAACTGAAAGAGACAGATGAAACGGTTGATTTGTTTAGTTGCAAAATGCAGTTGGGACAGGTAATTAAACAGTCCTGCTCCCACAGAGAAACCTGCAGCCTTGTAACATGAAGTCTCAGGAACCCAGATGTACTCAGATTTAGATGCAGAATGAATATTAGGTAGGCGTCTTTTAGATTGACAGATTTTGTAAACATCATTTCTGGTTTACTTGTTCAGTGTGATTGAAGATGGGGCACGTGTGTTATGGGGCACGTGTGTTCTGTTCATGGTGCACATTTCTAGGGAGCATGTGGTGTTTATAGATATCTGGGGGAATAACCTAGAAGGGCATCCTGTATCTGGTGGGCAAGGGATTCCATGGGTGAGCCTCTGCTGCTCTTCAGTGCTCCAACCTGTTCCTGACATCAGCTGTTCCATAGATGTGGGGAATAGAGCAGGACTGATTAGTAAGGGGCTGGCAGGGGAGACTGGAATCAGTTCCCTCCTTAATCCTTTCATTTTTTTATGAGGGCATGCTATTATATAAGTAGCAAATTGTGTGTACAGCAATGTCTTTTAATTTGGGCACTTATTTCAATGCAGAAATTGCTACCACCATCTACTCAGTTGCTCAAACGAAAAATTTTGCAATTACCTTTTTCACTAACCTCCCACAAGCAGTCCCCAAGCAGGCTCTTTGTAGGGATGACTCATTCTTTTTTTTTTTAAATCTTTGTTCACCTTTATATCAGTTGAGATGAACTTTTTCCCCTTAATTAAAAAAAAATTTTTTTTATTATTTTTCATATGCTTATTTTCCATCTGCATCTTTTTTTTAAACATCTTTATTGGAGTATAATTGCTTTACAATGGTGTGTTAGTTTCTGCTTTATAACAAAGTGAATGATAAATATGTTCATATACTTATGTTCCCATCTCTCTTCCCTCTTCCGTCTCCCACCCTCCCTATCCCACCCCTCCAGGTGGTCACAAAGCACCGAGCTGATCTCCCTGTGCTCTGCGGCTGCTTCCCACTAGCTATCTGTTTTACATTTGGTAGGGTATATATGTCCATGCCACTCTCTCACTTTGTCCCAGCTTACCTTTCCCCCTCCCTATATCCTCAAGTCCATTCTCTAGTAGGTCTACGTCTTTATTCCCATCTTGCCCCTAGGTTCTTCATGACCATGTTTTTTTCTTTTATATTCCTTTCCCCCTCCCTATATCCTCAAGTCCATTCTCTAGTAGGTCTACGTCTTTATTCCCATCTTGCCCCTAGGTTCTTCATGACCATGTTTTTTTCTTTTATATTCCATATATATGTGTTCTCACCTTAAATGTCCCCATCTCTGTGAAACCTACTCTGACCAACTTTTCAAACAGCCTCCACAGTTGTGTCTGATGTCCTGATCCTGATTAGCTCCTTCATAGCACTTACCACAGTTGGTAACTTGGGATTTATCTTTCACTTGTTTGTTGGTGCATTGTTTATTGGCTTACTTGTTTTGCTTGTCTCTTCTCGCTCTCTTGCTTATTTATATTGTCTGTCTTCCATCCTAGATGTTAGTTCCAGAGGGTAGAAACTGTTTCCTTTGTTCATCCTGTAATTCCAGCCCAAAGCTCAAATCCTTGCACACAGTTTACACTCTATAAATATATGCTGGGTATCATGTCCAAACTAGATTGTAGATCAGTGATATGCTGGGAAATGTCTAGCCCTCAAAAAAAAAAAAAAAAGGCAACCCTAATTTGTAGCATTTACCAATACCTGTGGTATAAATAGTTCCACCGTGGCAGATTTCAAGCAACCAAAATGACAGCAATGAACACTGAGTTAGGTAATGATTCACAGTTGCACTTCATTGATGCAGGTTTCTCCATGGGAGCAGGACTATATTGTTACTTGACCTACCTGCATTTAGCGCTAGACAAATCAACCATTTCATCTGTCTTTTTCAGTTGTTCATCCCTTTGGTATTCCCTAAATTCTTAGATAGTGTTTCCACCATAAATGTATAACAGATAGAAGTCACTTCAAGAACATAGACAAAATGTGGTCAAAATAATTAGGAAGTGATGGATTTTCAGTACTTACTACATTTATTTTTTTATTATTATTATTATTTTTTTGCGGTACGCGGGCCTCTCACTGTTGTTATCTCTCCAGTTGCGGAGCACAGGCTCCGGACGTGCAGGCTCAGCGGCCATGGCACACGGGCCCAGCCGCTCCGCGGCATGTGGGATCTTCCCGGACCGGGGCACGAACCCGTGTCCCCTGCGTCGGCAGGCGGACTCTCAACCACTGTGCCACTAGGGAAGCCCACTCCATTTATTTTTACTAATTGTAATCTTATAATTTCATATTTAATAATGGCTGTCATTAACAACTGACTTGCAGAATTCCTGAAAATTGAAAAATCTGCTCTTGCAAGCATACTTTAGCACAGCACTGGGGATGACCTACAGGTGGACCCACTGACCACTCCCTGCCCTAGTGTTTGGCTCATAAACAAAGGAAGGAAGAGAGTTGGCAGAGATGGATGGGTAAAGTGTTATTACAGAAACATTTCTCAGAGTTTTTATTCACCTTTTAGTGCTAAAGAAACTGACCCTAATGTCTCTTAGCTTGATATACAGAATTTGGTACAATGACTAAACAGAATGAGGTGGCAACAGTGAGAAATAAAGAGATCACAGAGAGGGAACAAGAGTAAAAGCAATCTTACCCTCGCATTGCTAGAATATCTTATTGCCAGAGATGGCTGTAGATCCTGAAGTGCTTGCTAGTCAAGAGCACTTAATTTTCAGAAAATTAGCCCAAGGCCAGGAATCCCTCCTGCCTGTTTTAAGCCATTGAGGCCTTAGTCAGCTGGATGCCTTGCCACTTCACATTTGTCTGTTTGTCTGTAGTGGGATGGAAATGAGCCCCAGGTAGTGTCTGAAGCAAGGCCTGTGGAACTCTGAGGACTCAGAGCAGATGACTAAGGGGAGGTGACAAGCTCCAGGATAAGTGATCGCAGAGGAAAGGAAATAAGGAAAGAGACATGTTGTGGATGCATTGCCACCTTGTGTAGGGTTTTCTCCTTAGCAAATATACAGTTAGAGATGGGCCTGGTATTTTGGATAAACAGACTATTGTAGTATCATTTACCATGTTTGAGTTTATATATCCACAATGAGAAATCATTAGTTCCAATTTTGAAAGTCAGGGGAATGGAGTTTGGTGAATGCCTTTGACCTTTAGAGCCAACAACACTAAGACACTCATCTTTTTACCTTGACATTGGCTGGAATTTCTTAATGCTTGGCTCATATCTGAACGCATATGAATCCTTCTAAGTCAACAGAACCAATCCTAGACTGGAATAATGATTGCCTTTCTTATTATACACCCATACCTCCCCCAAATCAGAAATTGTTCTCTCTTAAGCTGGTGAGATGGAAAAAGACATCTTGAAAGAGGTACCATCTTTCATGGATTAGTTCAGATAACATGTAATGAGCCTGTGTTCAGATGCCTGGTACTATTCTAGGGCCTGAGGTTATAGAGAGAAAAGATACCCTCAAGCAGTGGGGGCGCAGTTAAGAAAATAGGAATTGTTTTTTTTTTGCTGTACGTGGGCCTCTCACTGTTGTGGCCTCTCCCGTTGTGGAACACAGGCTCTGGACGCGCAGGCCCAGCGGCCATGGCTCACAGGCCCAGCCGCTCCGCGGCATGTGGGATCTTCCCGGACCGGGGCACAAACTCGTGTCCCCTGGATCGGCAGGCAGACTCTCAACCACTGCGCCACCAGGGAAGCCCAGAAAATAGAAATTTTAAAAGCAGTGTATTGTGAGCTGTGATGGAGATGTGTACACAGTGTGATCTTGGACCCCAGATGGAAGCAGATTAGCTCAGATATCAGGAAGGGCTTCCTGGAAGTGATACTGCTTTAGTAATGAAGTGTGAGTGGAACTTAGGTAATGTAAAGGAGCTAGATGTCCTGAGGGATGGGAAGCCCTGCAGAAAAGTGAAACACAGAATACATACTGGGAACTATAGGAAGTTTGGAGCTTAGAACTGGAGACTTTGTACGTCTGTCTCTCCATTCCCAAGGAATCTGAGAGGATAAGAGTGAGAACAAGATGACAAATGACTTCATGTCTTGCTTGAGGCTAGTTTTCCCCTTATTGTCTCTTTTGGGATTTTGGTGATCTGATTCAGGGGATGGGGCTTCTGTGTCAAAAAAATGCTTGATAGAGGATTAACAGCCAGATGTGTCCTTGTGTTTATATTGCTGTTCTGTGTTTTGTTGCAGCTGCTGCCCATTCACACTCTGAGGCTTGGCATGGAGGTGGATTCCTTTGATGGGCACCATTATATCTCTTCAATTGCTCCAGGTGGTCCTCTTGATACACTGAACCTCCTACAGCCAGAAGATGAGCTTCTTGAGGTAAAATTTTTGAGGGGAAAAAGACACAGGGCAGGAATTTTTAAGTTGTAGGAGAATGTGTTCTCACCAGAAATCCACAGTTACATCATCAATACCAATGTAATGTGAGCTACTTATATTGGAAAATAATTGGTGACTGTACTTAACAAAACTGTGTTGTGTACTTGAAAGTTGCTGAAAGAGTAGATTTTTTTTTTTTTTTTGCGGTGCGCGGGCCTCTCACTGTTGTGGCCTCTCCCGTTGTGGAGCACAGGCTCCGGACGTGCGGGCTCAGCGGCCAGAGCCTACGGGCCCAGCCGCTCCGCGGCATGTGGGATCCTCCCAGACCAGGGCACGAACCCACATCCCTTGCGTGAGCAGGCAGACTCCCAACCACTGCGCCACCAGGGAAGGCCCCCAGGAATTTTTTTATATCGAGTTGTACAACCTGTTTATGTGTTTTGGATAACAACTTCTATCTGTCATATCATTTGCAAATATTTTCTGCCATTATGTAGGTTGTCATTTCATTTTGTCAGTGGTTTCCTTTGCTGTGCAAAGCTTTAAAGTTTCAGTAGGAATGATTTGATTATTTATGCTTTTCTTTCCTTTGTCTAAACAGACTGATCCAAAAAAGTAGTGCTACAATTTATATTAAATAGTGTTCGGTCTAGGTTCTCTTCAAGGAGAACCAGTCTTACACTTAGGTCTTTAAAGCATTTTCAGTTTGTCTATGTGATATGAGGAAATGTTCTAATCTCATTCTTTTATGTGTAGCTGTCCTGTTTTCTAAGCACCACTTATTGAAGAGACTGTCTTTTCTCCATTGTATATTCTTGCTTACTTTGTTGTAGATTAATTGACCATAATAAGTGTGTAGGTTTATTTCTGGGCTCTCTATTCTGTTCCATTGACCTATGTGTCTGTTTTTGTGCCAGTACCATACTATTTTGATTACTGTAGCTTTGTGACATAGTCTGAAGTAAGGGACTGGCATCGGCAGGCGGACTCTCAACCACTGCGCCACCAGGGAAGCCCTGAAAGAGTAGATCTTAAGTGTTCTTACCACACACATAAACAGACACACACACACACACACAGACACAAGCTATGTGAGGTGATAGATGTGTTAACTAACCTCATTGTGGTAATGATTTCACAATAGATATATCAAATCATCACACTGTACACCTTAAACTTTTACATGTTATATGTCAGTTATATTTCAATAAAGCTGGAAAAAATAAAGATGAGGTAAAATACTAACAACTTATGTAATGATAAGTGAAGTAGATAACATACTTTCAGTTCATTTTCCCCACCTTTTGGGACTCCTGAGATGTCCTTTTGAGTGCTTATTTAAATGATTAACTAAGAAAGAAGCTAAGGTCCTATTTTAGTTTGATAGCATAATTAGTATTTTTTTTTTCAAAATTCTTCTTAAGAATCTAACCCCTTACCCTTGTTTGGAACATGTAGTCACATTTATTTGCAGGTTTTGTTGGTTATTTCTAATAAGGATTAGAGCTGGATAACCTCAGGCTTATGTGTTACTGACTAGCTTTCAGATTGTCTCCTTGGGACTCCCTCCCCACAATGATGGCATCCTCTACTGGGCTCACTCAGGCTTCTCAGCCTCTCTTCAGTCAGAGCAATTCTAGAGCACTTCTGCTGTGACATGACTGCCTTGAGAGATTTTGTTAGATTGGAAAGTTCTGTAGCCAACACAGCAGACAAACCAAGCAACAACCCTTAATTTTACAGATAAGAACACAAGGCCTTGATTTCCCCTAACTTTACACACTGGTAGAGTGATGACTTTAGTTCATGTTTTCTAACTCCCATTTCACTGGTTTTTCAATACATCACACTACTTGCTAAGCTTCTAAAAAAGATACGGGGAATGGTCAAACTTTGAGAAGGCTGTGTATAAGAGGGTTCTCTCAAGTGTTAGATCCACAGGAAGTCCTAGGTTGGGTTTAATAGAGTCAACCTAGTTGCTTTAGCCAAGATTAGAATCCCATGGGCCTTGAAGTAGAGATTTCTTTCCAAAATTTATATTTGCTTAAAGTGGGATGGCAAGAATAGCAAATAGGTTTCTTGTTGGGTTTTTTAAGTAGTGTTCAGTCACCTGGAGGAGTATGTTGAGAATTCTGAGTTGAATTTTGAGGTCGGAGAGAAAAGTGCTGTGACTATTGGCAAATTTTATCATAAGCATGGGAGGCCAGGTCCTGTTTTAAGATGTAGTAAATGGCTTCTTTTTAGAGGTGTTCAAGTAATGATATTGGGATGCTTATTGTGGATTAATGCCCTAGAATTTATGCTGTCACTTATGGGTTTTTTGGTGCCGAATCACGTCTTTCTCTTCTGATTTGCAGAGTATATGACATACTTTGTGGTGTCACACATGACAATCTGCAGATTGGAGACCATTTGGAAAACATTGCCATAATATGTAGCTATTAGGTATTGATAAATGAGATATATTTGTTTGAGAGATATGGAAATATGAGTAAAAACCAGTTTAGTTTACTTTTTTGTGGTAAATAAACATAACATAAACTGTATCATTTAAAGCATTTTTAGTCTACAGCTCAGTAGCATTAAGTATAATTCACTACTAATACCTGGTAGGTGATAAAGAAATGTTGGCTGGATCTGAGTAGAGCAAGTGTAGGTGATCTCAGCCATCAACGGAGTCCTTTGTGCCTTAGCCGAGATTGGAATTCCATGGGCCTTCTCCCTTGTAATAGAATGTGATGCAATGAGGTAGCATGAAGACTGGTTGAATTCACAAGTATAGATTTCTAGTGAAAGAACTTGGGATAGGGAAA